AACGCTTCTTGGACTCATGAAGCCTCTGAACAAGGAATAAATTGAATGTTGGGTTTTGTTTGGTGCATTAACAGTTCTTTTGAGGACCCGTTTTTTCACATTCTAACATTATGGCACTTCAAATTTCTTTGTCTCAAGGCACAACTCCGTAGCTAAGGGATTGTATTATTCTATTAAAATCTAATCGCAGCTGTCATAATTTTCTACGTTGAGATGCTTCTTACTCGGAAAAACGAGCATCCTTTTAAGACGTTGAACTTCCACCGATTAAGCTGCTATTTTTGAGGGTTAAGAACAGATTCTGTTGCGTTCATAGGCAGCTTTCATACCGAAAATTGTCGTTTGGTGCCCGCGCTCAAACGAACAAGTGCCCTGCAGGTTTTTTAATCAGTGTATTTCAGAGAAAAGAATCTATATTACAAAAATTCCTTCGTTATTTTCTAACACCAGGTTCTGGAAAAGCCTTTAAAATTGATTGCCGTGAGGAGTTACATGAAATCTAAGAGATTCGTAAGTTTTTATTAGTTAGTGTTTTAATGCTTACTCTTTTTTAATCTACGTCTGCATCCTCCATTGGCATTTGACTCGCAGAATTTCCTACGGGAGTCTCAACTAAGACATAACTTTCTGGCTGTTCGTTCTCGCCTCAGTCGTGGCCTGACAGATCATAGCATATAAGCTAGCAGTAAAGCAGCCAAAAAGTTATTAAAAACATAGCTGACCTATACCTTCAAGTGAATTTAGGTGGATGTCGGCTGTTTTGATCATCGATAACATTTTTGTAAGAAAACATATTTAATCGACTTTTTAAAATTTATGCTTAAACTTCATGTTTTTAAAATTAGGTACTTGGTATGATTGACGTATTCAACAGTTTCCCTTCATACTTGTTTTATGGTTGTTTTGTTTATAAATATTTATCAATCTATTCTTTTTATTTCTAGGCATACATATACCTCATTGTTCCTCTCCAAATCCTCCAGTTGCTTTATAGCCAGCTATAGTTTTCACCAACTTTTGTTTATATACAAAAAAGTGTTGTGCAGAAATTTTAGGGCTTCATCTAGCGGCCGCTTGGAATTTTGCCAACGAGGAGCATTTTTCGTTACAACATTTGCTTAGTGCGGACTAAGCTTTAGAATCTAACCCATCCATGGAATTCGAACTGGCGTCTGTCTTGCTCGCTTTTCCTTAAAATGATTGATGTCCACGTGTTGGTGGATGTTGTCATAGTAACATAGCTTAATCAAAGTAGATCTATTTTTCTTTTGGTGATGTTACTGTAATAGTTATCTGTCTTATTGCTATTTCCACGCACACTCAAAGTTGATTAACGCATTAATAACTAAATTTTTTTTAAATAGAGAAAAGGAATAAGAATACTGGGATTGTTCGTCAGGTCAACAGTTGTTCCTGTACGATGTTGAGATTCGACTTAAATTTTTACTTTTATTATTGATAGCGATTTCCACTGTTAATGCTGATGTAACCCGTTGTTGATGCTCCTCGTAATTTTAACTATTTGAAATATTGGTGAACTTTTTTTGCGGAAAAAAGGGTTATTGAAGATTTATGTAGTAATGAAATTTTTTGCAGCCTTACTGCTTATGGAAGATGATAATGCGTTGGATATCTTCAAGTGGATTACAACGACTGAGGCTGATGGGGAATTTAGCGATTGTTTGAAACTAGAAATTAATGGCGAAATTCACGATGTTAAGGTTTTCTTACTTTTTCTTAACAGATGCTTGTCGTTGTTCCGTAACTTCTCGGTAGTTTTCAGATATTTTGAGGGAGGTATATTTAGCTAATTATATAAATGTAAAAGTTTTTGGTTACACGAAGTTCAGTTATTTAAGCACAAAAATTTATAATTTCCTTAGAGGATTAAAAGTGTTCTGCTGTTTTGCTGGTCAAGAAAACTATTCCCATGACTACATTATTTTTAATCGTTATTTTTTAATGGGGCTGTAGATGTGTAGCGTAGGATGGTATTTGTTTCTCAAGGGTAATGAGGAACCAGTTTTAGAAGGCTAGACTTAACCGGTACCGTTTGTGAGTTTAAATTCATGTATATTTAAGTGCCTACTACGTGACTCATGCTTCGTGAGTCCAGAAACTAATTTCTGTTAACTTTCAATAGGAAGTACTTCCTATTGAGTAAATGATTATGGAGTTTACTTTTTATTTATGCCTTTTTATTCTACTACATAAACAATTTGTCATCCTTTTTTTTAATTTATTTTTTTTCTCACTCTTCCACATTTTTTTTTTTTTTTT